ACTGTGGCCCAGGGTTCCTCAACTCAACTGCCCCTGTGGAGCGGGGACAGCCCTCACATGACTGCCCCTCATGTGAAGGGGAGAAATGGCCGCAGGGAGAGGGAACTGGGCTCCCTGCCCCCATTCTCCCCGTCTTGCTGAAGCCCTTTTCTCTTCTCCCGCCCCATCCCACCCATCTTTCACCCTCTCACCCAAAGGCTGCCAGCAGCACCTGTCGTGTCTAGTTCAGAGCAGGTCTACCGTCAAGCTGCCCTGTGCTGAGCATGTCAGCGGGCTGCCTCCAGGTCCCCTGGTGTAGACTCACAGTCAAGTCCCTTCTCTTTCACTGGCCGGCACCGTCCACAGGCATTGCAAGGGCAGCGGTCTCAGGCTGAGCTCCCATCCCAGCTTCCTCACTCGATACCTCACTGTGAGCTCAGGCAGGCTCTTAACCTGTTTGAGCCTCGGTTTCTCCCTCAGTTAAACAGTGAGAATAAATGTACCTAATTCTACACCACGTAACACATTTAATCCCGAAGGCAGCTTGCCCCACTGGAGCGCTGTCTCTACCCATCTTCCCTCATGCCTCCTGACGGCAAGGAGAAAAGGGCCGAGAAATAGGTCTGTGGTTGCTCCTGCTTTCCAGCCTCAAGGCGGCACCAGGGCAGAGGCTGGGGAGGGGTAATGGCACATGGCTCAGTTCTCTCCCCAAGGTCCCTACCCATCTCTGCTACCTCCTGCTCACATCTGGGTGACATCTTTACACAGCGCATTCTAGGCAGGGATTTTACAGTTGCAAAGAACAGGGAACACAGAGACATAATCCCCCCAAAGAGAATCTCAAGCAACAGGTATAATGCAAAGACCTTTGAGTCCTGGAACCCAGGAAACACCCAGGCCAGGCCTTTAGGGAGCAGAGCTGAAGGGCAGCGCGGACCCAGAGGGACCCGGGGTCTACTCTTGGACTAACTGCCGGCACTTCCCGCACTTGCTCTGTTCTTCTCTCCCACGGGTACCGAGGACGTAGGAATCGGGGCAGGTGATGCCACCAGGGAAGCACTCGAGTTGGCAATCTCTGGCCATTCCAGGGAGAATGACCTCAGCAAAGGGAGAACCGTAAGCAGCGTGGCGCTGGGAGCTGGAACCTACCACTGGTAAACACAAAGGAACATAGAAGTGGGGGCTGTAGGAGCACACTGGCCCTGAATGCCCTGGCAGTTAGTCCCTAACCATGGCAGTCACCCGTCACGGTCCCTCGACATTATGTATGTGGAAGGGTATTGATTAAGAGGAACAGTCCAATTCCAAACCAAGATACAAAAAGGATACCCCTTTATACATTTCTAAATGAAACAAATCAACCCAGTCCTAGGTGGTGGGTGCCGTGCTAGACAGAACAGACACGAGGGCCAGCTCACAACCTGCAGCCTCAAAGGTGTGCATGCTCAGCCTCACAAAACCACACGCAACTGCACGTCGCTCTCCCAGTGAGACTAGAAGGGTGTGACGGAACAGACAAACCTCCAGCAAAAGGCCTAAGTCGGGAATCAGTCACATGGAAAATCACAGTGGACAAGCTCTGGAAACATCTATAATGTGGTTCTCTGTGAGCTACAGCGTCTTGGAACTGTTTCCTTCCAAGGATCACCGCAATGTGGGAGTAAACAGTGGCATGAACTCGCAAGTCAGAAGGCGGGTGGAGCTGATCTCGTGCATCCTGGGAGACAGGATGGGCTTCTTCTGGCTTACAGCTCCGTGGGGCAGAGTCTGGGAAGTCGTAGAAGGGTCTTCGGAGAGGGCGGCCACTGCGCTGGTGCCAGTAAAATGACACAACCTCTGTATGCTCCCAGCTTTGGTTTCCACAGGCTCTCCATGGCCGTGTGGTCTCTCTTTACATGTGGTCTCATCTGAACCTTTTAGCTTCCTCTTCCACGGTTCCATTCTCCGCATACCTTTTTAAACAAACTTCAGCCTTACTGAGCCTTACTGAGATATAATTCACATACCATACAATTGATTGATTTAAAGCATATAATTTAATAATTTTTATATTTTTAAAAATATGTTATTTATTTAGCTTTAGAGAGATGGGAGGGGACAGAGAAAGAGGGTGAGAAGCATCAATGTGCTAGATATACACTGACCCCAACTAGGAACCTGGCCTGCAACCCAAGCACGTGCCCTGACTGGGAATGGAACCAGAGACCTTTTGGTTCACAGGCCGGTCCTCAATCCACTGAGTCACACCAGCCAGGGCACCCATTCACATTTCTACCAGTAGGATAGGAAGATTACAGTTTCTCCATATCTCATTCTCTACATATCTTTTTTGTTTTTTAGATTTTATTTATTTTTCTTCAGAGGGGAAGGGAAAGAGAGAGGAAGAGAAATATCAATGTGTGGTTGCCTCTCATGCGTCCCCTCCTGGGAACTGGCCTGCAACCCAGGCATGTGCCCTGACTGGGAATCAAACTGCGATACTCTGGTTCGCAGGCCCACACTCAATCCACTGAGCTACACCAGCCAGATCATTCTCCGTATATCTTGGTTAAAATGTTTAAGACCACCAATTTCGCTGAAGTGCATCTCTTAGTGCCAGGTGGTACAGTTCACTGACTAGCTCATGGATTGTCTGCCTTGGGCCAGTTTCTCACCCTTGGTCCAATCAGCAGGAGCCAGGGTGAGGAAGCTGAGTAATGTGATTGAAAACGTGGCTACAAAATGCTCATCCTTCAGCAGAGCATCTGAAGAAGAGACGAGGTCTGAACATGGTGCCCTGGAGACAGAGAACTTGAGGATGGTACCAGCTTCACCCCAGGACCATATGCACAAAGAGGGCAACAGGCCACAGAAAGACAATGGCATTGATTTGGGAGACTATCGATGCAACAAACTTGGAGACCTTGTACTTAGTTTGACCTGCTTCAACCACATAGTTAGGGGCCCACACAAAGTCAGGTCTCTAATTTTTCCAGTTAGTTTCTTGGAGCACCCGCCTGCCCCTATGAACAAGAAGTCCCGAGTCTCCATTGGAAGGCATCACCTTTCCTCCCTGAAATGTCCGGGAACCTCAGGGGTGCACTCACTTGGGTTCCTGGGGGTTGATTCCACTGCAGGCGTTGGCAGAGAGAACAGGAGATATGGTCTGTTCCCCAGTGCTTCCAGCCACCCTCAGTGTTGACTGTGAACATGAGGCTGTTGATCATGGCCTTTCCCAGGTAGGTGGACACTTGGTCTTTTTGCAAAGGCCTGGCCTGGATCCCTAAGGTTACCACCGGGGTGCCCTCCACACTCTCAGTTCAAAGCTATCTTGGATCATGCCAATGTGTCCAGCAGTTGGGTCCAGAGCTTCCTCCTCAGCCACACCCTGTTCAGAAAACAGCACGTGATCCCCATGAAGGCTCAGCCCAGGCCTGAGACCCAGGACTGATGAACAAAGACTTGTCTAGGTTGTTGGATTGCAAACTCACACCCCTATTAGTACAAACAGATAAACAATTTACTTAGCATAAAGAATATGGCTGCTGAGAGGGCTAGAGTGAGAGCATGCGCAAAATACAGACTGCTAACAGAGGCGCCTGCAAATCCATGGCCTTTGTCAAGTGTCAAAGCCAGGAGGCGCCCTGAGAAGCCCTCCACTTTGACCTTTGACACTCCCTTCCAGGTGTGATAAGGAGAAGGTGCTGATCACTGTAACAAGACTCTCCTGAACACTTTCACCTGAACAGGAGCCCTAGCCACCTTCAACAGAGCATAGCCGAATAGAGTCTACTAATTGTCACCTGTGGGCATTGTCACCCTGGAGCCTCCAGGTATGTCCTCCTTGAATCTTCACCAAGCCCTTGACCCCTCCCGACCGCCTCTCCACCCTCCCAGCCCTGGCCTCCGGTTCAGATTTCTTTCACAGAATTGTTCCTCAGAGACTTTGGTTTTCTTTTCTGTCAAAAGATCCTTCATTTAACCCAAAAGGTATTCCTGCCTTTGAAACTCAAACAGAAAGAGGGACCTAGAAACTTTGGCTCCACGAAGCTCCTTCACCGTCAGACAAGTTTACACTCTTTCTCCTAGGCAACCACACTGGGTTTACGTCAACAGGTATTAAGGGAGGGGCAGCCTTCATCAACCCCTTAAAAAAGGGTTTTGCCACGTTCCACTCAGGGCAACGAGTGCCTGCTTGCCCTGGGGGTTCGAAACTAAAAGAATCCACTCCAAGAATAATGAAAATCCTAAAATGACTCTGAGTCTACCCTCAGACCTAGAAGCAGCTGGAATAATGTAAAAATTCCTCTCCATAGGTGACTGCTTATATTGAAAAAATTTAAAGATAATTATGATGAATTACGGGATGGTAAAGTTCTTTCAGACTAAAAGATCCTTATCTCTAATACATTTTAAACCCTTAGGAACAAAAAATGGTAAAAATATGGTAATTCTTCTATTGTGTTCATTATATTTCACCCTAAATATCACAATATCAGAGAATACACAGTTTAAAAATAAAGAGACATTCCATAATTATTTCATGAACAGTTTTAAGGATAAAGTTTCTTTGACAGGAAAGAGAGAGAAGGAGGAGGGGGAGGGAGGGAAGCAGGCAGGCAGGGAGGGATGTAAGGAGAAAGAAAAGAAGGAAGGTAGAAAGGAAGGGAGGGAGGGAGGAAATGTATGGCCGAAATGGTTGATTTTGGACAAATGCGATATTTTTATGATACATTGGAAAGTTAAATTTGAAATATTTCTTTGCAGCTAATGGTTCACCAAAGCTAGCGGCAGGTCTGAAATCTCCAGGGGGACCGATTTATGAGGATAAGGTGAAGGCTGGCAGTCTTCAGCCTTGGTGGCCTCTGACCTTGCAATCCTGCAGCAGCAGGAAGATCCTCGCCCTTCGCCACAGCAGCACGGGTAACTCACTATGTGTTTTAGCAAAGGGCTTGCCCCTGGTTTTGTGAAATTCTGCGTTCGATCAGTTGTTAATAGAGGGCTCAGTCCCACAAACCATTAAATCGCAGACAAGTGCTGGCTTCGGCAGCCCCTACACTGTACTGAAATTGGAACGATGCATTGGAGGTTAGCGTGGCCCCTGTGCAAGGATGACGCGCACATTCGTGAAGAGTTCCATATTTAAAATAAATAAATACAGTAAAATAAAATCTGAGAGGAGAAATTTCACCTTATTGACCAAAAGGGGGCGACTCCTGACTGTGCCTTCCATTTTTACCCCCAGCCCCAAGAAACCTTTTCTTGTTTTCTCAGGAAGTCATTCCTGTGAGTTGCAGGATCCATTTCAGAGTGAATTACTTCTTATTACTTCTTTTACTATTTCTTATTTCATGTTAGACAAGTGATGCACTAACAGACACTGAGGTCTTATTTGAAAACCAAATAAAGGGAGCAAATACAGGATGCATTGCTGGTCCAAAGAAAGGAACGCAGCCGTGAATTCATTCACTCTTTTGCTCCATGAATGAATGCCGCATCCCCGTTTTCTAAAATTGGGAGACATGTGTATCAGAAATAATCTGATTCACCATCTGATTAGAATTTCCTTCTAATAATGGAAATTAAGGGTATCTGTTCCAGACCCTAACTCCCTGCCAGAATCTAAAATAAATCTTACCATCACCTAGAACCTCAAATTATATCTGTATTTCATACATGATGTCTAGTACCTAATAAATAACAGAGCTTCAAAATAGATAAGAAAATTGATAGAAATAAAAATAGATCAACAGATGTGAAAAATTGACATAAGTGGAGGCATTTTAATTTTTTTATTGATTTTTAGAGAGAGGGGGAGAGATTGTGAGAGAGAGAGAGGGAAACACTGATTTGTTGTTCCACTTACTGATGCATCCATTGGTTGATTCTTGGATGTGCCCTGACGGGTTATCAAACCCACAACCTTGGCCTTTGGGGATGACACTAACCAACAGGGCTATACGTGGAGCCGTTTTAAAATCGAGCCAAAGCAATAATATTGTAATAATCATGCATGGTGTCAGATGGGTACTAGATTTGTCGGGGTGTACAGTTGAAACTGATGTAGTATGGTATGTCAACTAACTGAAAAATAAAAAATTATTATAAAAAATAAAATCAAATAGAGCCAGAGCAGCCGCTGCAAGGGACCTGTTTGCACATCTTGCTCTTTGAACCTTTGGAATATTTGACTGGGGAAAATAGCCTTTGCCCCAGCCCAAAGCAACATGTCCTACAGACAACTGTTTATGAAGCTAACAGGACGGCAGACATCCTGACCACAAGGACAGGTGATTGCGGACGTTCTTTAGAATCATCGGTAACCAGCCACATGTATAACTAAAGAGCAGCTCAGCTTGTTCACACCTGTAGGAAGTTCTTTTCTTCATCTACTTATTTCTCTTTCCCTGTTTCTTTTCTTATAGTCCACAAAATGTACACTCCTTAATTCTCCTGCTTTTTTGTTTCTTCCCGGCTGTTTTGTGGGCTCCTCTTTCTCCACCTCTCCTTTTAAAGTTGGCCTTCTTCTGGGTCCGGATTTTCCTTCCTTCTCCAAGTTCTTTCTTTCTTCCTAGTCCCTCTGCGCGCTCATTGTTCCCCGTGTCCCCAATTGCCTGCTCTATGCTAACAGGTTCCAGAGCGATTGATCGCCCGGACCTCCTTCCAGGCCTCTTAATCAACTGCACAGCTCCACCCGGGTGTCCCATGGGCCCCTCCAAGTCACTGTGTGAACATTCGAACTTACCATTTTCCCCCTCGAACTTTCTCCTCTTCTGATATTTTCTACTTCAGCAAATGGTGCCACCCTCTGCCCCAACCCAGAAACTGGGCCTCATACTCAAGGGCCATCTCTCTGTCACTCCCCACACCCAACCAGACACCAAATATGGAAGAATTGACAAGAATTCCTTTATATCCCAAATACCCAGCGTTTCACTTTCTAAGTATCTCTTTCTCTGTTCTTTTTCCCTCCTGCCATCATCATCATCATCCCTGGGCTCATTCAAACAGCCCCCTAATTGGGCTTTTCACCTGCAGGTTTCCACCTACCCCCCAACCCAGGGTGTCCCTTTTCCTCCTCCTCTTTAGAAGAAATGTAGTTTCAGTACTTTAACACATTTGCAGAGACTCAAACCACTATAAAGTGGAGGCAGGACTGCTTTGCTATAAATATAAATTTGTGTTACTTTTAAACTTTTTTATGCACACTTTTGTAGATGCATTAAAGAAGACAGACTGTTACAATTTGCTGGTGTTCTCATACTTCCAGAACCAACAACCATCAACCCGGGCCAGGCCTGCTTCACCCCTATTCCAGTCTATAAGTCATCACATAACACATTGAAGCAAATAACACATAGTCTATCATTTCATTCACAAATATTTTAGTATGGATGTCTAAAAGATTTGTAAAATATTACACCTAAAAAGAACTAAAAATATTTTTAATATTATTAAATATCTATTTTCTAGATTTCTAATTTCCTCATAGATGTCATGAGTTTTTAGAATTTAGGATCTAAATAAGATCCATACATGGCAACTGGCTGCTATGTCTTTAAATATCTTGTAATTCACTGGTTCTCCTCCTATCTCTTGATTTTCCTTGCATATTAATTTACTGAAAGTAAAAACAAAACACATCATCTGTTCTGCAGAGTTCACCACAATCTGGCTTTTGTTGGTTGGCGAGCCCATGGTGTCATTTAACTAGATCTTCACTCAGGCTCCTGTGCAGGGTAACTGGACTTTGAGAACGTGTTCGTCGGGGTGGGCTGCCAAGACAAAATACCATAGACTGGGCGGTATTTTAGAAGTTTACTTCTCACAGTTCTGGAGCCTGGGAGGTCCAAGACCAGGGTGCCAACATGACTGCTTCTATGAGAGCCCTTATCCTGGCTCGCAGACAATTGCCTTCTTGCTGTGTCTTCAAATGGTGGACAGAGAGCAGTGATCTCTCTTCCCCTTCTTCCAAGGGCACTAACTCCATCATGGGCTCCCAGCCTCACGACCTTAACTTAATGATCTCTCCAAGGCCCCACCTCCCAATACCATCACATTGGGGATTAGAGCTTCAACACAGAAATGATTTTCCTTTTCAGTTTAAACTTTCTAGACAAGTGTCTCTACATCTAATTATGTCCCCCCCACACACACCCTACTTAAAATCTATTGGTAACTCCCTTATTTTCCTTTGGCTAAAGTCTGAAGAAGTAATCTTGCAGTTATTCCCTGGCCACTGTGATTGGCCAGGGGGGAGCATGTGACCCAGTTGGGGCCCATCACAGGTCTTTATCAGCTTTTCCTGCTGGAGCTGCTGGGAACTTTTTATTTTTTTATTTTTTGTGGTGGAATGACCCCACGTGAGGCTCAGAGGAATTCCTCTGGAAGTTCTCTTGTTTTCATGAAAGGACCTCTGCTAGCACAGCAGTTCTTAAACCTGGCTGCACACCCAGAGAGGTTTAGAAACAATACAAAAGCCCGTGAGAGAAGCCGGACACAAAAGGCCACGCCCTGTATGATTTTATTTATGTGAAATGTTCAGCATAGACAAATCCCAAGTTGACTGGTGGTTGCCAGGGGCTAGGAATTAGGAGGAATGGGGAGTGACTGCCAGCGGGTCTGAGGGTTTTTTGGGGGATGATGAAAATGTTCTGGAATTAGATGTGATAGTTGTGCAACTTTGTGACTATACTAAAACCACTAAATTGTACACTTTAAAAAAGTACGTTTTATGGTATCTGAAGTGTATCTCAATTTAAAAAAAATACACCATCCCAGACTTTCCCCAGACCAATTAACTCAAAATCTCTGTGGCTGGGGCCCAGGCACTGACAACTCTGTAAGGCTCCCAGGTTATTCCAATGAGCATCCAGGCTTGAGAACCTCTGTTAGGGTCACATGACTGTTCCCTTTCTCCCCATCATGCTTCTCTCCAGGAAGTGAAGAAGCTGGGGAGACGCAGAGTTTGCATGTTTGCTCACTGTGGTTCTCTGTCTCTCGCCCTTCCTATTTCTCTTCCCTCTCTAGATCAGTTCAGCTGGAAAGCTATCAAGAAGCCCTATTATGGCCAGTTACGGACTGAGCTGGATCCCCAAAATGCAGACGTTGAAGTCCTAATCCCCAATGTAACTATATCTGGGCATAAGGCCTTCAAAGAGGTAGTTAAGCTTAAATGAGCTCATAAAAGTGAAGCCCTATCCTGGGAAGAAGAGGAAGAGATGCCAGGGGTGTGCTCACTCAGAGAAAAGGCCACGTAGGGGACACAGAGAGAAGGCAGCCATCTCCAAGCCAAGAAGAGAGGCCTTAGAAGAATCCAAACCTGCTTGACACCTTGAATTTGGACTTCCAGTCTCCAGAACCACGAGAAAATAAATTCCTGTTGCTTAGACCGCCAGTCTTTGATATCTGTTATGGCAACTTGACACAGTTTCCTAACCAATTGTGTCTGTAATGGAGCAAGAGGTGGGCGATCACATATGTAAATAGTGATGATTTTTGTCTTCTCTTCTAATTGTCATGCCTCTTATTCTTTTTTTTAACAGACAGACCTTGTTTTATTGAGCTTCACTTTATTGCACTTTTTTACAGATAGAAGGCAAGACCCTGCATCAGCAAAAAGATTATGACTCGCATTATTGAGAAATTCTCTTTATTATGGTGGTCTGGAACTGAACCCACAGTTTCTCTGAGGTATTTCTATATTATGTTATTGCATTATCTAGAACCTCCAGAAAAATGCTAAATAATATCAGGAATAACAGATGTCTTTGTCCTGTGTCTTAATGAGAATGTCCCTAGTATTTTGTGGCTAAGTATGTTTGCTTTTCATTTCTGAGTTCTGTCTCAATCCATTCAAGCTGCTATAACAAAATACCACAGACCGGAGAGCTTAGAGTCAATAAAAATTTGTTCTTCACAGTTCTAGAGGCTGGAAGTCAGGGTGCCAGCATAAATATAGAATAAAGAGATGCTAGAATGTTAAAAAACACTTCAGAAATAATTTCCTCCTAGGGATAGAGACTGTTCATTGTCTCCCAATGTCTATTTCCCCTCCCTGGTAATAGAAACCTAAGTTTTAGCTGAGCCTTTGGACACACAAGGTGTAGATTATTTCCCCGCTGCCTTTGTAGCTAGGTTTGGCTG